TTTTAATGATTTAAATTCGTTCCCACTTAAGTTGCAACTTCTAATGTTTTTATTTGTAACATGTGAAAATTCTTCGATTATTTTTTTCTTGGTTTTGGTCTTCCTCGGTTGAAATTATGTATTGTAGATTCATTTTCATTAGTTTTGTCAATTCAATGTATTAAATAATGTTTATGAAGATATGAACTAAAAGATAATGAATAATGGAGATGTATTTTCATTAATAAGGGAATATAATTTATTAATTTATTCGTATTACATATATAAACTCGATAAGTCGGTTTTGATCTAACTCGGCCAAAAAGTTTCACCCCTTTTTTTACTATTACTATTACTATTATAATTACTATATTAATATATCTAAATAAAGTCCCGATAAACGCCAAGTCGGTCAATCACTTAGCAAATGAATCACGATAAGGGTCATCATTACTATTTTAGTAATGAGTGATTTAATGACATGCATTAAGTGATGGTCCGCGATCAACGATAAAAATTTAATATGCAGATCCGGGATATTAAACTTATTTTTTAAAAAAAAAAAATTCATTTAATATGGTATTAAATTAAAAAAAACCCATTTTCAGATGTTTAGAAATATAGTAATAATAAATTATTTTTTAATAATGACCATTATAGACTTTTGATTTACATTATTATTATATTTGCCAATTTGCATTGGAAAACAATAATAGTAAAAGTATATACTTATTGAAAAGGTTACATGAATAGAAGTTTGTGGATGGGGTTTAGTTGCTTTTGCTTTTGATAATTTCTTGAATTTGCAACCCCAGCTCTTGCTTCGATTTTACTCCACCCCTTCTTCCAGGTGTTTTCTTAACATAATATGGCAATATTGTTTGTGGTGCACCTGTGTTGATCACACACAAATACACCTCGTTGTTATTTGGGTATCATAAAAATCATATTCAAGCTGAGCAATTAAATTGAAGAAAATATTTTAAGATCTGGCATATTGATCTTTTGTCAGCCATTGGAAATATTTATTTTTCCTTGTTAGCCCAATATAAAAAAATCTATTTCAAAGAAATAATAGTTTTGTTAAAAAATAATTTCTATAGACAATTTGAAAAAGGATGGAGGTAGAACAAAATTTTCTAAAAAATAATTACCATTTTCAAGGATTTTTCATACAGATAATGAATGACATATACACTTTTTATTCTGCAGAACGCAAAACTGAATTAATGAAAATAGTTGAGAATTACCATTAAAACTAGCTACATTTTTTTTTTGTAATGTTACGATTCTATTATTTTTTTCATAAATTCATACATGTATTTTATGTGGAATCCACAGTTGCCCAAGAGTAAACTATTTATTTAATATAAGAAAAGACCATGCAACTTTTGTTTATATATGTAGATCGCCCGATTTTTATTGGCGAGTTTCTATCATTGATCAGCGGATCACGAATTAATTGGCAGTTGTATCATCATTTTATCATTCATTTAGCATGAATAACGCATTAA